ATTCACTAGTCATGATGTCCTAGGACGTAGGTTCTATGTTAAGAAATTATGCATTGAACAAAGATTTTAAACAGAGAGGCTATTTTTGACCTTGACCTATAAACTTTGTTCAAGGTCACTGCACATCTATTGACCTGTGGCACTCAGTGAGTGGAAATGAGCTAAACTGGACTAAGGGGAGAAAAGATATGTTCCAGACAAGGATTTTTCAAAAACCAGTAATTCTGCTATGACCTTATAACCTTAGACCCAGAAACATGGTTCAATGTCACTGCAAATCCTTTACGCAAAGACACTCTGTGGGTGAAGTATGAACCTGATTTGGCCAAAGAGAGAGAAGATATTAAGAAATTTGGGACGGACAGACGGACAGAGGGATGAACACAGGGAAGGATGGACAAACAGACTGATCATTGTAGGGTGCCTGCAGAACAGGACCCTAACAATATGCTTAATACATGTACATGTACTTATTTGCATGTTATATTTGCTTTGAATTTGTTGTACTGGGAAAATAGACATGCTATTAATTGCTTTTACTTTCTAAAAGAAGGTTTTGTGACAAAGTTAACTCAAATGCTAATTAGATTTGTAGAAAACACATTAAAGGCTACTGAATATGAAAACATAAAATAAATATGAATTAATATTAGGTACTCCATGCGCTATTTTGCATGCACAGAAAGTTACCTTCTTTTTGCATATTGTGGGACTTTTTCTGTAAAGTAAGCATTGGTTATTATTTAAAAGACTCAAGGAAATAAATGAAAACAAGTGGCCCATGGGCCACATCGCTCACCTGAGTAACTTTTGTGATGCAGTTCTTTACCAGATTTCCCCTCTTCTTACATCTGTTAAAGTCATAATTTTAACACTTTAAAATCTCTACACTACCCCATGATGATTTCACATATGTTTCAGCTATCCTTGCCTACTGGTTCTTAAGAAGAAGATTTTTAAAGATTATTACTATGTATTTCTACGTAAAACTTGGATTTCCTATTGTGTCTCCGCCTTACCCCTCGGGGGTCATGATTTTGACAATTAGGATTCTTCACTACCCAAGGATGTTTCCATATTAATTTCAGCTTTACTGGCCCACTGGTTCAACTTGAGAAGAAGATTTTTAAAGATTTTTCATATAAATTTCTATGTAAAACTCAGATTTCCTATTGTGGCCCTGCCCTTCCCTAGGGGTCATGATTTTTACAATTTAAAATCTACGCTATCCCAGGTTGCTTCTACATAAGTTTCAGTTTTCCTGGCCCAGTGGTTCTTGAGAAGATTTTTTAATGATCCGACCCTATTTTTGTCTTTCCTTAATTATCCCCCTTTGGAAGGGGGCCTAGCCCTTTATTTTAAAAAATTTAAACTTCCGATCCCTCAAGGATGCTTTGTACCAAGTTTGGTTAATATTGAACTAGTGGTTCTTGAGAAGAAATTGAAAATATGAACAGTTTACAGACAGACAGACGAATGGATGGACAGCTAGACTTAGGGCAGACTATGGACAAAATGTGATCAGAAAAGCTCACTTGAGCCTTCGTCTCAAGTATGCTAACTAGAGTGTTCCAAGGAATGCATGTGCTGCCTGCTTTTAGCTTCTTTAAAGATGTGACTAAATCTAAAAGTGGTCAGCAATTTATATGCTTCTTGTATATACAGTATTTCATGCAAAAACAAATCTATCATGATAGTTCATAAGGGCCTGAGTCTGAGTCTGTCAATCAAAAAAATATGATTCCCAATCCTTAAATGAATAATTCATTTGAAATCTTTATGTTAAATTAAATTATCTAAAGAATTCTTTGTAAAGTAGGTCAAAGTCAAGTGAATTTTAACGCTGGTATTTTTCAAAATATTTCATGACATTTAGTGCTCAAAAGCATAGAATAACCCTTAAATGTCAAAAATATCCTGTATATTAGCACTTTCAATTTATAAGTAAAGAATGTCAAAATGGAAAAGCTAAGGGTCAAGAGGTCGGTAACCTCTGCAAATTACATATGCCATAGAGCCAAGCAATTAATGTGCAAAATGTTAAGTTCAATGTCAATGTCAAGATGGACAGATGGACAAACAGACAACTAGATGGACGGACACACAGACACAGGGTAAATTGATCTCTTAGTGCCGCTTTGCTCCTCAGGCAACACAAAGAAGAGCAATCTCATATACCCAGGCCCCCACATTGCTTAAGAGTTGTGTTACACAGGCACTTGTTTCTGTAATAAAGTAATAAAGAATTGGTGGACTTAACTGGCCAGAAAAATGCCGTAAATTTAAGTTTCATAAAATGTTTATTTTTTCCATCATATAAACCTCTGATATCTTAACTGTGTATTCATGGTACGGATGTGAATTTAAAACACTCTTTTCGAGGTAAACTAAATAAATATCAAAAGCTGATGGTGCCTGAAGATTTCTTGAATATCATTAGATAATCAGGGTCACGTGTTTTTCATCGTCTGAATACAGAGTCAGTACATGTTTGTCGGCTGTTCTTAAGAAACTGTTGTTGTATATTGGACAAAATAATGTTATATTACAAGGAGAAGAGCCGACAAAAGTGTGCTCATACTTAATTTAACAAAAAAAATGTTCAAAACAAACTTCTAGCTTCCATTGAAATGTCTTCAGTTGACCTGTTAAATATTACAATTCGTCACGTGATGTCCACCTGCAAGTGTACTCGTGAAAACAGTTACATTGTATTCTTCACCCTGACCTCGATCTGAATCATGTCTGAGCGTGTTTTGTTGCCGTTTTCATAGCTTAGCAAATTAAAAATTGTTTTAATTTTGCGTGTCATCACATTTTTAAAATAATTTAATATTGACATCGCTGTAAAATGCTAAACACGTATTCGAATTTTTGGAAAGAGAGAGGGATGTATAGAGAAAGATGTCAACAATGACACCGATCGATAGCCCCGCCTCCTACATGTATAAATATTGATTGTGTGACATAAAAAACACTCCAGGTACATGTCCAATTCCGGAAGACGACACTCAAGTATCATTGCTTCAATTTTGATACACGACAACAGGGCATTGTTTTTGCACAAATGTTCCACCTAACATAACCAAGTATATGTTGCTCTTTCAATAGCACATAATTTATTTTGAATTCACTTCATATACAGATTGTAAGAGGAGTTGCAAAAAGATCCAAAATAGGGTGTTAAGTCCACCTGTTCTTTTGACCAATAATATAATAATGTACATACTATAACATTATTATACTATAGATCAAAAATTTATTACAGAGACAAGTGCCTGTGGAGTGTTACTGTAATTTAATGAAAGGTGATGCTAAAAATAAAACGACTCATCATAAATATAAAAAAAAATGATGTTATACGCGAGATTTTTATTTTCGCGTAATTACGCGAGACAATGCGTTCGCGAAAATTTTATTCTCGCGTATAAAAGTATTCATTACAATTAAATAGAGGAATAACAACTATTCGTGAAAATTATGTCTCGCTTACAAAGAGTCAGTGACAATCTCGCGAAAATAAGGTGTCGCGAAAATTTAGTGATCTACAGTACATCATACGTGTACATGTATCAGTATCATGACCCGTTCTTGAAAAAATTTTTCCGTTTGCCTTCGGACCCGCCCCCTCCCCCTTTCCTGCCCTAGGAATACCATGATTTTAACAAACTTAGATCTGCACTATCTGATGAAGTTTGCATTATTCTATGTACATCACTGTACATATTGGTTAAGTTACTGAAATCTGGATTTGAAAAATTTTTCTACACACATGAATAAAAAACTATTCCAATGTAAAACTGTATCCTAATACAAGTTACATGAGGACCCATCCGGGGAGAGGGGGTTGGGGATTATTTTTAAAAAGTTGATTCTGCACTATTTGGGACATCGTCTCAAGCCACGGTCCGGAGTCCGCTTAGAGCTCTCTCCTACCCGTGGCTGCTTGATCACAAAAAGTGTCGTAATCTTGAATATTTACGCCTCTCTATTGTGACGTCATATTCAGTCAGTGGGAAGTTTTGTTTCCATCGCAACAATTGACATCAACAGTATACAAGGAATATTTCGTATACTGCGATTGGTCATCGAAAGGTCGCGATAAAGTTCATCATCCGACTATGCTTTACTCGCATTGGTCAATATTTTAATGAGCTACGAAGAATTCTTTCCTCGTTCAACCACGGCCAGAATGGGAGAGGATCGTACATTTTGGCCGTGGTTTGCGACGATGTATTTGGGAATGCTTACATTTTAATATAATTTATCATTTGGTCCTTTGTTGTTGGGAACAAAATTTTTATTCTTTTTTTTTTCTTAAGTTTATGATGTTCCCCAAGTGCATGACCATTTGTAGTGACTGTTGAAGTGTTCAAGGTTTTTTTTTCTTTTGGATGAGACTTAAACCCAAAGTCTCAAGACTGCATGTGGATGACTACTTGTTTGTACTTATTATTTTTAAAAGATATGTCAACAAATTTTCATGAATTTTTATGTATCTCCCCTAGAAAGAGAGTTTGGCACTTTCTGTGTAAAAAATATTAAAGTCCCCTATTCCTAAGGATGATTTGTGGCAAGTTTGGTTGAAATTGGCCCAGTGGTTCTGAAGAAGAAGTCTAAAGTGGGAAAAGTTAATACACAATACACATGATACATGACAGATGACTAACACAAAGTCAGAAAGACAGATGTTGGACATTTTTCTCATCAAAAAAGCTCAGGTGAGCTGAAAAATGTAGGAGTAGTACATGTAGCAGATTGCAACATTAAGGACAGTCAAAAACAGCTGTAGATAGACAGATGCTTGTTTATAATTTCAATTCCGGTATACTGATTAAGACAGATTGACAGATGACTGGCATCTAACAAATGCATAGGCTCTTTTGGTCACTGCATGCTCAGTAGCTCACAGAGCCAATTAAAAATCTGAGTATGAAGCCCTTCACTAGTATCTGATATGGCATGCCTATATCATATGTTATATAATCAACATTCAATCATCAATCCATCAGACAATTGGTCATTTTATAAGTATTAAATAAGGATTGTTGTATAACCTGTTTTCTCCATGGAGCTGATGAATCATTATAGTCATATCTAATCTCCTCTCCTTCTTTAAGATTTTGTATGGATTTGAGGAAAAGATATGGTTCATCATCTATAATCTCCTTCACAACCCTGGCATTTGGTCGAACCCATTCATCATTAGCATACTTGGCAATGCCCTTGCTTTTCATTGCATCAACACTGAAAATGCAAGTAAAATAAATTTTAATCTGGAGCTATGATATGAAATTTAATGAATAAAAGATGAGATACTGATACAATCTGGCACAACCATATATGAACCCAAAGTGACTTTATCAACTCGAAGATTATGGATTAATTGCTTTTATGGCCTTCTACTCTATGATTATGCACAGGATAAGAATGATGATTGATAATTTTCTCATCCGTCTTAAATAAAAATTGCTTCAAGGGATTTTTCCACTCAAAGGCTTTCCCAGCAGGGTCATCTTTTTGGGTCCACTTTGGTATTTCCACGTTTTATCTACCTTTTTTGAAACTGAGAAAATTAAGAACCTAATAGGTTTATAGGTTATGCTTTAAAAAAAAAATAGAAAAAGTTGTATCGTCCCAGCCCTAGATCAGGTGCCATGGAAAAGTAAGCATCCCTTCCGATTGATCACACATGCTGTGTGCTCCTTGTTGTAATCAGAATATAACGGACAAATTTTAACAGAAAAATTCATTCACGATTGAGATATATAACATTCATAATTGTATGAACATAAAAAATTATTAAGAACAAACAAAGGTGTTTCAAAGATGGGCAATTGGTATCGGCATGTAAGATAATTTTGAAGCAGGACTTTGACTTTTTTTTTTTACAATTTTTGACACACTGTCATAATAAGTTAATTTTTTTTTTGCAATACAACTACTAAATATGCTCTATTTGCAATTTTCTACATGCTCATGGTGATTAATAGGGAGAATACTGTATAAAGCTCAAACATTAAACTAATGTAAACTTTATACAATATGGAGTATGCATACCAAATATGAAGTCTCTATATCTCATTGGTTCTAAAGTTATTACATATAGCCAAGGTTAAAGTTTACAAACAGATAGGACATCCTGTTGCACAATCTTTGCAAATCTGAACTAACTTACCATTTAGATTCTTCTTTATGCGTAAAATAAAACAAGAATCCAAAGTCCTTTCGAGAATCAGCAGCTTTTCCATCGATCAGTTCTCCCTTATATTCACATATGTAGGTTCCTCTATCCAGAAATTTGTCTGTGAACAAGCCATATCCTAAAAGAAATCAAAGCAGCTACAATACATGTATGTATTCAAGCACTGAAGAGACATCATACAATCAACAAAAGCCAAGAAAAACAATGCATTAATTATCCTCTTAAAAACTGAATGTTAAGCATAAAAATTATAAAAGTTAAGTTTATTTCAAAATTTGGCAATAAATATAATAAAAAAAAGAATTAAGAGCTAATGTCAGTCTTTCAATGTTGAACCCATAGTTTGAAAGGGATGTCTAAAATTAAGATACAGGAAATCAAATTCCTGTGTGGCATTCCTCTTTAATACAAGTGATGTTCGTAAAACATGTATGCCCCCCAAGGGGCATAACTCTGTCAATAATGGTGCGATTATACCCAAAACATAACTTGACCTTGATATTCATCTGACTTATCTGTATACTAAATTCAATTTCAATATGTGCAACCTCTCGAAAGAAAATGATGGGAAAATGCAAATATTTGGAATTTTTTCTAAGTCCAAGGGGCATAACTCTGTCAATTATGGTGCGATTCTACCATAAACAGAACTTTGAATCTACACTATCTATACTAATCTATGATACCTACCAAGGATACTTCCACAAAAGTTTCAGCTTTCCTGGCCCAGTGGTTCCTGATAAGTTGATTTTGATTTTTCCTATATATTTCTATGTAAAACTTGGATCCCCTATTGTGGCCCTGCCCTACCCTTAGGGGTCATGATTTTAACAATTTGATATCTACACTTCCCTTTGACAAACAAAAAACAAAAAAGCCCAACAAACTCAAATAAATACCCTGGAGGGGGTTGCAATAGTCAAGGACAGATCATTTATTTCTTTTTGTTTGACAATCAACTCCCAACAGATTTTTTAATTTCCTAATCTGCCAGGCCCCCACCTCAGAATAAAATGCTCATCCCTGGTTCCCTTGATAATATGCAACACCTTTTGAGACAAATAAAGATTATTCGCATAGATTCATTTAGGCCTACCTATTTCATGATTAATAAATCCTTTTCTTAAGAATTCGGGATCCTTTTGCATAAGTTCCTGAAGTGTATCTTTCAAAGTTCTTCTTTTAGGCCTCATTTTAAAACCAGTTTCCTCTAGGCCTAGGGTATCTTTGAGCTTTTTCCTTTTTGAGGTCATCCTCTGGAAAAAAATTGGCAATTATTAGAAAATTTAAATTATTTCCTTTTTTGCTTGGATATGATTATGTAGTCTGGTATTCGTATATTGTGTCATGCTATTCAAGTCCATATCCCGTTTCAATAAATAATTATTATCTTACATGTATACTCGATTCCCATTATATCGCGGGTTCCATTGTATCGCAGTATATACCAGGTATCCAAAAATCAGTAATATAGCTCATATCATTTTTTTGGATAAAACTATATGATTGTCCTCTAAATGTAAATTTTTGTGATGATTAAAAAGAACAGATCATGCTTCGGAAAAATTTTTTTCAAATAAAATGTAATTTTACAGATTTCCATTCCCGTTTTTATTATATTTAGACCACTGAATTCATAATCTAGTAAAATCCATAATATAGTTCATGTTTTGAAAGTCTATAGTTGATATAATTGTTCATTTTTTATGTAGAATTACATCGTAAAATTAAAAATCAGAATTGAAGTCCATGTCAACCACAAGTTTCCATGTTTTCCCATACCGCGATAGCCTACTATGAGTCTATGAGACTTTCCAATTTAGGAGGTAAATAAGACTTCCTGTTTTAAAAATAGACTACAAGCTATATAGCTTGATCAAGATATTACAAATACCTTGATCAAGGTATTTCATGTAATTGCCAGTACCAATATTTCAACTACGGTGTGTCTTCTTTTTTTTCTATTTACCGCAAAAGGAATCACATGCCCGACATTATTTTAGGAGCCCGATAGAAATTGAATGTTTTTTACGAGTAGGTAATTTGTGGTATATGGTTAATATTATTTTATATCACTAACGTTATATATGTAATTTTATTTAAATGTTATTATACTAAAATAAATTTATATATACCTTTGAGTGGGGGTCATAAGTTGATTGGTGAATAAACACCGTATTGAATAGGTGTCAGTAAACCGGGGGTTATATATGTACATAATATAGACACTGAACATTGGGGCGTAGGTTTAACCCTCCCCCCCCCCCCTATTTTCAATAGGCAGTGTAGGTTAAAATTAGGGGATAAAATAATGTTACTGAAAGAATTTCGATTCGGAAATAAATGCACAAGCTTCGTTGTCTTGAAACTGAAAATATGAAATCGAGTTTATTCCCTCTTTTTTCAGGTAGTTTTCAGTTTGATTTTTTTCTCCCTGGCTGCATACCCCCCCCCCCCCCTCCAACAACACCTTTCACGAAAGTTTTCAATGCTGCGTTATTGATATATTGTATAATATATTTTATAATGTGTATACTATTATATTGTTGCAATCTTATGCTCTTTCTCAAACTTATTTTTTTATGATTTCTGAAGACAATTCTGAATTCATTTTAAATAACTTGGGTGGGAATTTAGAATAATTATAAGGAAGAAAACGACGGTATTTCAGACGCGATACAGATCTCATAGTACCATAGGCGTATTCAAAAAGCTTTCAATTTTGGGAGGGTAGGGGGGGGGGAGTAAACTTATCAAAATATTTCAGTGACCGCTATCCCATTTGACAATCCTAATATACTTTAAGCTTTTTCTAATTTTTATGTTACTACATGCTTATCCTCTTCACATACAATACAATGTATAATCTAACTAAAATGTGTGTGTGTGTTCGGGGGGGGGGGGGCTGTCACCATACAATTTTCCTTTGAACATATTACATGTACTTGCTGAATAATTTCTATGGTGATATATAAACGGGGGAAGGCTCAGGATTTGAAAACTACTATCTCTAATAATATTCATTTTGAAATAGCGTCAGATCGAATTAAAACAATCCATCTTGAATACAGTGTGATTTGTAGGATTTTAGACCCAACACTACATGCAGCTCCCCCATAGAAAAGTATATTTACCTTTTTTGGTAAATGATTTGAATTGTGAAGGAATTGTATAGATAGTTTCGGGGTCTGAAATTTATTCATCTATCAATATTTTAGATTAATAAATAAATACTTCCCGAAATAAGGTACACATCCCACTCGGAAATAAATAGGGCATTGGAGCTGGTGTATAGGTCAGAATTACGCCTGACAGGCGCCGCCCATAACTGTCGATCATGCATCCGCCCCGTTGCGTTTTTGATGAGATAAAACCTCAGGGCCAATGGCAGTGCACAAAACGTTGTTTAACTGCAAAAACACCGGAACCCTCTAGGCCTCCTCCTTCCGATACGAATTAATGATTACCCCGGCATGCCCGGGCTCGCGTTAAAAAGGAAAACATTTTAAATTTAAAGTTCAAAATGTTCTAAAAAGTGATGATTGTTTATATAAATAACATATGTATGGCTGATAAAACAAAGTCGACAATTTCTAAATATTTCAGTAATTTTATACTTGCATCACTTAGGACCATTAATTAAATGTTCAAAATTATATAACTATCTATTAATCCGGTTTATTTTTATTTTATTATTTTTTTAGCGTAGACCTATCCTTAGTTATTTATTGTGTACATATATATGCCTTGCCAAATTTCACATATGGTTATTTGAGCAGTAATCATTTAATTAAGAATGTATTGAGGGAACAACTAAGTTAATTTAAAATAAAAACTAAATACTTTGAATATCAAAATATGCTATGGTTGAAAGATGTATATAATTATTAAGAATAGAAAAACGATTACAAAATAATTTTAAAAAAAAAAAAAAATTCTTATTGATTAAACAGAAAAGGGGATTAATTCTTTAAATACGGATTAGGATTATTAATTTAAAAAGAGGTATTGAGTTATTAAAACAAAAGTTTTAAAGATCTAGATTTGATGACCCACGCATCGAAAAGAAGGAAAGCGATATAGGTTTTAATACTGCATAACAGATTCTGAAGCAAAAACAAATTGTAAACAGGATATTTTATAAATACTGATGCGTATGCAAGCTTGTTAAAAATTCTTGCGTAAGATACACGTATATTAAATTGTTAAAAATATGTTTGTAATATTCTACTACAAATATATAATGCAACTACACTTCTCTTTTTTCTCATACTTTGACGTCACCGCGACATATGTTCATGAAATCCAAAAAGGAGTTATAATTAGAATTTATGTCTGCCGTATGTGCTACTGGACTATTTGTTTAAAATGTTGCTGCGAAGTTCAGTTCAAAAGATCACTCTCCCAGAGAGGGAATTGATACAATGTTTCTTTGCGAATTCGATTTATATAAATTTAAGCATGTAACCTCACGAGATTTCCAACATCAGAGACAGAGTTAAACGATCTATTGCGTTTTGCTGGATACTATCTTAACTTAAATTTGCAAGGCAACTTTCAAATACAACCTAATGGAGACTTCATATATTTTCTAAACAGAAATTCAAACAAACAAATTGCATCGCTATCTGGTTTTTCCAGCGCTATGTATCCAAAATTTTGACGACGAACAAACACACCATCAATGACTTTGTATGTATAGCAGCCACAGATATTGAATCTCGAGGCAGAAACTTATGAAAGGAAAGCATTGTTCCAAGAAAAGCTTTACTATATATTCATCCTTCACATGCGTCTGTGCCTCTTAATATGTGGTTGGTGGATCTTAGATTTTCAGTTGGGGGTGCATGATTAAAAAAATCCTTTCGGTGAAAACAAAATACCCTGTAACTTCCGTAACTAAGTTATTTTTATTGAATTTTCCAGAAAGTAATGTAGAATGGAAGTACACGTATAACTGTCTCAATTCCGCCAACTTTCATACAGTGCAGATTAAGAGAATAAAATAATTAAAACAAAGTTTCGATGTCATGCTTTATAATCGCATCGACATTAATTTATAGAAAAGAAACTAGCAAAATAAGCATTAATTGATCAAAGAACGCCAGCCTACACTTGATCAGGCTATAAATTTGATAACAGCCATCCACAAACGAGATTGATTATCATTAGACGGAGGAGAGGTGTCAAGACAAGGAATTATTACAAACACGTGCAAAAATTCCCCCCATTCTAAAGAATTTTCTTAACAGATTAAAAAAAAACATATTCATGTCCTGATTAAATTAACATTTCTTTTAATTACGTACTGGCCAATAAATGACCGAAATAAGCAAGTAATGCAAGTATTAGAAGTCCGAGGAATTCCACACTCAGTTGACCTGTTTGTGGGTCACCAAACATTCGCAGAGTTTTCATTTTCGCAAAAAATTAATCTGTGGGTAGAAATGGCCATTGTTTTATTAAATTTTAAGTTACAGTATTTTCAGTGGAGCAAAATTAATTTGATAATGAGTTAGATGGCTACATTGTAGTTTTACTCCAGTTGAAGCGCAAAATATTTTTTTTACTGAAATAAAAATAATTGTTCTTAAAAATATTTCAAGTTGAGCTACAATGTCCAGTGCTTTTCTTTATTTTTTCTGCAGTTAAATATTTTTAACAAATAAAGTATATTGTCCAACCAATTCAAAAATATAATACCAATATATTCAGGTTGGTTGATTGATTGCATTATAATAGTGTTTTTTAAAATAGTGAAAATAATACCGATTTACCTGTGCATTACATGTAAATAACAAAATATGCATGAAATTAACTACTTGAATACAGCGATTTAATTGATGTTGATGTAAGTATAAATCGGAGAGTATACTTTACATTAAAAGATACTTCATGTGCATAACCACATTTTAAGTGTTAATATATAAATCAGGGTAACTATTATAGTATAATTACATGATAGCATTCGCATCATTAGATATTCTACATATAAAAAAGGATTTTCTAGCGGAAATGTAAAAAAGATAGATATTATATTTAACATTTATTTATAATTAAAACATATCTGGAAAAAAAACATAAAATTTTTACTTACCTCACTTTAACTGCATGATTTCTATCCTCAAATACATTGGTAAAATTTGTCAAATTGTACGGTCATCGTCAGCATGCCGCACAACTCTTATTCTTGAAAGCGTCACTGCGCCTCATTCGACATGTCTGAATTACAACTAATCCCACAATGCCTTCGAAAGCATGAAATTATGGGTCACGTGCAAATATCACTAGCACAGAGGAATATAAGATGCGTTACGGGAAATCCACTAAAAATACTCGTCGGAATATGCAATCTCTTTACGGTCAGGAATCTCATATGGATGTTTAAAATGTTAATGTGTAATATTTCATCTTCAGTTCAGTTTTGTCCGGGTTACATGTTCTAGAATAAAAATAATTTCGTTATCATAATAACTAGTGTAATACATGTACAATATAACAAATTTCATCATACTTTCACCACTTTCAACCATTGGAATTCTATTGCCGGTGGTAAGCTCTTGTTTATTTTTGATAAATATAATTTCAAGTCACGGAGTCCATTCATTTTTTTATGATAGCTATCTCTATGTTCATCGTCACTGTTTTCAGTAATTACAAAACTCGTGTGATAATAACATTAATATGTTTAACTGTGTCAACATCTTTTACACATTTTACCTTAAATGGATCGTTGATCCGCCTCTTCAAACGTCAAACCGCACGAGACACAGTGTAGACTGTGACGTCGGTATTTACGGTGACAGCCGAGCATCATGTCCTGTGCATGCAATATTTGATGAAATACGTTGTACAGTAAATGAAAATATTTTTTGGTGCAAGTAAAGAAAAGTAGACGTATCTTGGTAAAGAACAATTATTCTTTCGAAAAATTCTATCGAATAAATGTGCATAAGTCCAAATTTTCACTTCGCCCAGACGTTACTTTATGAGCTCGCTGCGCTCGCTAAAACACAAGCATTCTGAGAGTTTTTCCTAACCAAAATATGATTATTGGAGGCAAGAGAAAATGATGACTTTCTCATAATCAAACCCCAGCGCAAAATAGAATTTTAGCCATTTATCAATTGTTCAAATAATAATTATAAATTTAAAATATAAATATTAAATCAATATTTATTTTGAAATATCAACCGACGTCAAGCAGTGTCAACTATTGCTACGCTGGAGGGCGTGTTTTCAAAATTCAACGATTAACATTTGTTTCTCAGCAAATCAGATTCAACTAATTAGTTGAAAGCATTATGAATTAGTAACGAGATAACTACCTACTCGTTATAAGTAAAGTAAGTATATAAATAAGTAAAGGTTTCATTAAAATGACATTTGCTATACAATTTCAACAGTAAATTTATTTAATTCAATTTAAATGTCAAAAATAATTTCGGACTGTAATCGTTTGGAGATTGAAGAACTTGTGATGACCCCGCCTTAGAAAAAAGATTCGTATATAGTAAATATGTACATTAATATATTGTAATTAAGTAAAGTTGTAGATAAGATGTTGATCATTCCTGAAATTAAAAAAAAATATCTGTTTTGAAAGATTATCTTGACGGCAATTTCGCAGATCCTTTAGTGCAGTCATCCTTTATGTTTAATTGCCCGGGGGGGGGGGGGGGGGGGGGGGGTAGCCATACTTTTTAAATTATTCGAAGATGGGGTGGGCTATCAACTACCAAAATATTTCTTGACAAGGAAAAAGGTCAGCAGTTGATTTTTTTTAATGCGGCGGAACAAACATATTGTAGCTACATGCATGTATCTTTAGGATTCAATATATCAGAAAAGTTATTGGGAGGGGGGGGGGGTGCATGAGTAAACGGAAAGTGCTCCATCTGGTTCCTACAGATATGGAAAGTAATGTGTTGATTAGTATCAAATGTCTACGAAAGTGTTTGACATACACATTAAAGTATATCATTGAGGGAGTCAGAAAGATTCCACTTCCACACGAGCAAGTCTATTTCACAAGTCGCTGCAGATCTGAAGCATTATGGTTTTAGATATTTATCCTTGACCATAACGCTACCGAACCCGTAATGCAAAAGAGATGCAATTTACGTTGTTATAGTTTTTGCACACTTTTGGAGAGAGTTTCTCCACTTTTCAGTATCGGTCAATTAACAACTTTTTACTTCCTAAATCTAGGCACATTATTTAACTGATCTTATATTTTATCTATATCCTAACCCTTTAAAGTCGTCTCTACAAATGATAGACTCGCTTGATTAAAATTATTTGTTACATTGCTGAAAATTCACTTCTGAGTTCAAGCAAGTTTATAGCCTTAGAGAGAACTATAAATGGTTGGAAGGTGAATGAAATTTACGTATATATATTGGCTACAAAATGTGTCTTAAAATTAGGGAGTGAAAGGTAGTTGATTGACCAATGCTATAGAAAATGGAGAAATTCTCCCCAAAATTGGGGGAAAAATATTGCCCCGTAAATTGCACATTTTTGCATTACGGGATCTGTAGCTTTATGGTCCAAGACAAATATATTAAACCATAACGCTACAGATCTGCAGCTATTTCACGAGGCGCATGATATACTGCAACTGTTTTATTATACCGATACAAAAATTAGACATTTTCAAAGCCAGTAACTGCAATTCTATTTTAAAAACTAAAGGAAATGTCGATTACTCACAATGTAGATTAAATAAATAATAAGTTATGAAATCCTTCAATAGCTGTCAGTGCACATTAGTCTACAAGGATGACGTCACAACAACATGCTTCTTTTTCCGAAATAAATTAGGCCCCGTCTCTTTAATTAGCTACATTATAAATATTCATGATTTTTGGAACACATCGGTACTTTTCATATGATTACAATCATGCAATGTAACAGAATAGGTGTGTATCAGTTCATCACACTGACGCACCTTTCCTTTGGGGATTCAGTCTTTTTATGGTGATTTTCAGGGACTAAGCCAAATATATGGATTAACTCTTATTTACTGAAAAAGGAGTAGAGGTATATATGAATATATACCAGGTATATATATATATAATATATGGTATACCAATGTAGTGAATCCTTCTCCTAATACAAGTTCCGATACAACCCTTATCAGAGAGCATAATAACCTGTAGTAATTTAAGGTTTTTACTAGGAAGAAATATACTTTTACTGTTAGTCTGACTATCTGAGATGGTAACTGTGCGTCGATTCTCATGATGAATTTCAAGACAGGATTGCATAAGTACTTGTGGCGTGTTTTTCATTGAATTATCTTGCGACTTGTGTAAAGTGACCTTAAAGGTAAAGCAGACATGGTCCACATGGATACTTATTGTAGGTCATTATATATATACCTTTTATACGTCGTTAAAAGTTGTGTAGAAGCTTTAAAAATACTTGGCTGATATGCTACCTTCTACTACATGTATAATAGTATTAATTGCAGCTATTCACAGGCGCGTAGCATCGTTTTTGAAAGTGGGGAAGCCAGAAAATTTATTTTTTACTTACCTGAAAAAGTTGACAAACAAAGAAAAAAGGCGAAAATCCTATTTCTCGGGGGGGGGGGGGGGGTGGTAAACTTTTTCTCAGTGCCAACTACTTTCAGTACCTATTCTAATACTACATTTTCGGTACATCACTAAAAGGGGGGGGGGGGCAACCAGGCTTTCTATAAACATCTCCTATAGTATAAATCAGGTTGGGAAAAATGTGGGGGGGGGGTAGGCCAGCCCCCCCCCCCTCCCCTGTTGCTACGCCCCTGTTTCACCATAATTTACTATAGAAGATGGGGGCGCATTTGGCGGGTGATCTGCAGGAATCACTTGTACGAAACATTTATGGTTTAAATGTCCATGATTTGGTTGGCTGAACATACCTGGTCAGATTTTACAAACACGTCCATGGGCTATTTTTCATTTACTTTGAAAGACATTGTGAATTTGTAACATTTATGTCCATTTTTTCTAGAGGGTACTATAACATTGTAATGTTTCACAAAAAATTAAACCTAAAATATTTAATGCATAGATGCATGATACGTATACATGTACACTATTAAAATAGAAGATTAGAATTGATTTCGCTTGAGAACCAAACTGAACCAGAATTCATCTAATTCAAAATTTTAATACATCAGTACATAAAACGAAGCTGACAAAAAAATTAAATCCCCATGCCAGGCTCGAACCAAAAACTTTTCGATTCGAGTGCACTGAACAGTTAGCCTAATTAACTAAGCTATCACCGCTTCACCTTTAGAAATGTTTTTAAAAGGACAAAGACGCTCCACATTGACACATTTTGATTTTTGGGGGAAAAGTTCATTTTTCGTGGTCTTTGGGTCTTCTCTCCATTTTTTTTAAAAAAGTGTATTCGTTTCTTTG